TTTCACCCAGAGGCAACAATGCAGATCGAACATCTGCAGCCAGGTCAATCTTGCTCCTCCCCTCCCGTCCTGCCCATCCTGCCAATCGCTGGAGGAACAGGGGCGGGGGGATTCGAGTGGACGTTTGGCTCTAAGCTGTAGGACCTCCCGAATGTACCTTGCAGAAGCAGCTTCCATCCACGGGTACCTGGCAGGCCATGGAACCCGCTAGTGTCGCCTAAGCATGCGCTGAAGACAATGGAGTGGGCAGGTCCAGGGGCTTGTGCTCCTTCCCCCAGTCCAGGAGACCAGTATCTGAGGCTCCGCCGCTAACGCTATTGGGCACGCACTCCAGACTCACGCTCCACTGGCCTCTGACTGCCTGCTACTCATGGTCCTGTGAGGCATCGTATTCCCCTCAATTCCGCATCTCAAGATTGACCTAGGCAAATCCTCCTGGGTACCGTGCCTGACCTGACCTGGAAACCTTCTCTGGATCGGAGGAGAAGGGCGGCCGCATCGTAATACAAAACCCTTTGAGGAGCTCCAGGTCCTGATTATTGACCGACTTTTGTCCTCTCTCAACGACGTACCGCATCCACAGCATAGCCATTGCTGCAGGTGCCCTTCCGTCATGAAATGCCATGGGCCCTGTCTGTCACGGCGTCGACTCTGCCCACATGGAGAGGCGTCACAGTGTTCATGCATCCTGGGCCGTGGCGCACGCGGCTTCGCTTCGCCTTGCTTTGGCTTTACATGACGTTCCGCGACACCAACCGCATTCAGCTTGACATTGAACGCACACACTCTCGACTGGCCTCAACATTACTTTTATCCCGAGAAAAAGCGCATTACTGCCCCATGCGACCAACCAGAAACAGCAGCGCGCAGAGGTGCCGTCAAGCAGAGCCTCGTTTGAGCTTTCTTCTCTTCACCCCATCATCTTTATGGATTATGCACTAACCCCAACATGATCAGGGAGCCATTTCAATCATGATGCATGCCTTCGACCCGATAGAGTTCCCGAGATACTGTTCCATGTACACACACAACCGAAAGCAAAAGGACGGAAGGGAAAAAAATTAAATTGGCACCTCTCGGGGCAATGCCACGGAGCTCGGCCTTCGCTCTTCCTCTCTGTCCAGTCCAGTCCAGCCCCTTTCTACTACTTCTCCTTGAGAATTGCAGCCCCTGGCTGCCCAGGCCGACTACGGTCCAATCATACTCCAGAACCATCGACGTCTTCTTTCGAAACTAACTAGTGGTCTTCGGCCGCAACTCCAAGCATCCTGGTCCTGCTCCCTGCGCCGGGATCCGTCCCCTAGACTTCTTCGCTTCCCCGTTCTCTCCAACTCTGCATCAGACACTGGACGGAGAAAAACCTACCCGTCTACCGTTTCAAAACCTGGGGCCTGGGCTTCACCCAATCTCCCGCCCCGTACTTCGGATTTGAGGTTGCATTGTTGTCCTAGTCGTCACCGACCGTCAAATAAGCACTCAAATCCCATGCACTACGTGCGGGTTCGAGCAACGACTCAAAGAACCATCTTTGAGTTCCCAAACCTGGCCAGAATTCCCGTTTAATCGTCATCGCTCGTCCCAAGCTGTATTTATCACATACGTCAAAAATTCTTAGCCGACGTTGACAGGATAACAAGGTTCCAACTGCACAGACGATATCGTCCCTGCGCCGGGCAATTCGACCGACCTTTTTCTTAGCTTAATGGACATGGTGCACAAAAAGACGACGTAGTCGTTTTCTCCTCTACGCAGTAGACCCAGAACCCACGTCCGTCATCTCGGGTCTCCTAGAAACAGGGTCGCAAGGTTGCAGAGGGAAATGGAAAACGGCAAGGTCGTTTCATCTTGAGGGTGGCATCCAGTCCAGCCCTGTGCGTTGAAATTGCCCGAGATCGATCTCCGCCCGTCATGTGCTTCACTGGCATTCTAGATCTCGTCCCCCGACGATCCCGAGAGCCTTTCAGCCACCGTTATCACGAGCGATCTCTCGCCTCTGGACTGGATCTTTCTTGGGCTCACAAACGGGCGCCTACAGCGACTTGTGGCACGCGGCCACGCGGCATCCCGTCGCCATGTGTATGGTTGAGAAGAGGTATTCCGCTGTCTATCGATTCGTCCGGATGTTCTTAGGTCACTCTTGCAGACCTTCTTGCCAAGGCCATGGCACCCATCCCGTCTATGTTGACGCCAAGCTATGCGATATGGTTGTTACAATGTGATGGAATCCGAAAGAATGAACCCGTGAACCAACTTGTTTGGCGCTGCACTTCAGGTTGCCCTATCCATCAAACACCTCGTGCTGAAGCTCAATGCCCATGTCCTGGGCAATATCCTTCATCCTCTTCTCCATCTCATCCTCCATGCCACCGCCACGACCTAGCCACTGACGTAGCTTGAAGAAGTAAAAGGCGACATCTGTTGTCGCCATGACCATTTTGAACAGAACATGGCGCCAGGCGTTGTTGAATCGTTGTCCGAGGGGAAGCCTCTTGTCCTCAAACATGCTGCGACTCGCCCACTCGCCCATCATCTTGATGCGATTCACCGGGGATCCCAAATGTTGATTGTTGCCCTGGACGATGCGCATGTTGCGTCCGATGAACATGAGCTCCTTGGGTAGCTTGTCACCATCACCCAAGATCTCACGCACTCCCTGCTTCATCCTCCTCTGCATCTCGTAATGGCGCTCGGCCGGCGTCGCCCCCTCCAAACCCTTCATGAGACCGCTGCGAGTCCGCTGGTCACCACCTTCATAGGGACGCAGCAGCGTGGCGCTGGCAAAGATATCAGCCGCCTTGATACCCCAGTCTTCCGTCACCCGGCTGATGGTCGCGTTGTCGAAAGTCAGGAGCGCTTTCCAGAATTGGCCATACTGCTGACGGAACTTGGGGTCCATGTACACGTAGAGGCCGTGGTCGATGAGCACCAGTTCAGCGCGGCCGTTGGGCTTGCGTCGAATGAAGATGTTACCGGGGTGCGGGTCACAGTGTACGACACCCCATTTGAAGATTTGTGCGGAGAAGAGATCAATCATGGTCGTCATGACATCCTTGGTCGAGACGCCGAGGCCACCCTTACCCCGCGGGCCCTTCCACTCGAGGCGCTCCGGCTTCAGCTGCTCGTTATAGCCCTGGCCTCGGACCTGACGGCGCGCGAGGTCCTTCTGGGTCGGCGGCGGAAGCTGGGCGCCGTTGACGCCGGGCGAGCCCTTGCCATATCCACCACGCCAGGTGCCCGTGATGCCCTCCTTGTCCCACAGCCTGACGCCCTCGATCCACTCGGTCGTCATGACGCGTCTTGAAGACAGCTCGGGATAGACGACGGGGACGTAGACACGGCCGCGCAGTCTCTTCTCGCTCTCGACGAGCTTGCGCATGGTCTCGGAGTTGCGTGCCTCATTCTCGAAATCCGTCTCGAGCTCGAGCCGCTCGGTGATAAAGGGCACGAGGCTGTACAGTGGCAGGTCGAACCACTTGCTGTAGATCCACGAGACCGTCTTGAACGCCCACAGGTCCCAGGCGATCTGGCTCGCAATCTCCCGCTTCTGGATCTTGATGGCGACCTCGCGGCCGTCGGCCAGCCGCGCCCAGTGCACCTGGGCAACGCTGGCACTGGCGCGCGCGCGCCTCTCCATTATGCCATTGCCGCTGCCGTTGCCCTGCGCAGCGCCCGGCGCGAAGCTGACGCCAAACACGTCCTCAACGCTGCGGCCGCCAAAGTCCTTCGCGCACGACGCGCTCGACGTCGGCCCCACGAGTTTTGCGGCGCATCGTCGAACATGCGCGCGAACATTTTC